TTTATTTTTAGGAATACTAGAAGTTTTGATGGCTGCGATTGAGAAATTAAATCCCAACGATTCAAGATTGAGACGTCACTGAAACTTGGTGATAGAAAATCTCCAGTCACATGCTCACTGTTGCATCGCGTTAACAATGCTCTCAAGTTACAAATAATTTTACTCAGATTATTCTAAAATTTGGTTTTTGTCATTTTTATCACATCTTTTTTTTTTTTAGATATTTGGACTTTTTCAGTAGGGGGCGAAGACCCCCTCCCCACCAGGGACCGAGTCCCCCTGGACCCCCTCCCGAGCTCCCTCCCAAGCCTCCTTTCTCTTTTTGAATCTCGCATTTGACACGTCTGTGACAAAAAAACTATTTGACATTCAGTTGTTACGCTTTTTTTCAAACTCGTGTGATTTTTCGCGGCAAACTTCAAATTCGTCTGAAGACGCCCTTCACGACCTTATATCAAAATGTACTATTATTGTTATTTTGAAATGAAAAAAAACATGATTTTTAATGGATTTAATTCACTTGGATGTTTAATACGAGTTCCAAAAAATTTTACCATTGACAGATCTTTGAATGTCTGTTACATTGGATCGTTCACGTATTTGCATTCCTTATTAGAATATTTCCTTTTCCCTTTTGTTAATTAATTTTTTGGATTAAATATTTGAAAAGGTAAATTACAACAGTTTTATCTAATTGATTCATTGATTCGATTTTTTAACGCGATATTGAAAGTCTATATAAATATTCGAGTTGATTGAACTTTATAAAATATTTTTAATTTGTTTGGTTGTATTATTCATCAACAGATACAATTTGATTTTAAGATTGATTCTGATTAATTGGAAGAGTAATATGATTAACACAATATAAATTCACTTGAGTATTTCATAGCACAAAATTAGTTTGATTTAAATATTTTTCAGAGTTTTAGTGGTTGGATGAGTCAAGATAATTCAGTTTGGTTTAATTGATTTGGAGATCACAATTTGAATAGGATGTGCGTCCTTGATTCAATATCACCGGAGTTTGGTTCAACATTAACGGAAGTCATCCCAAAGCAGGGTCAATCGCCCCCACCCCTTCCTGAGATAAAGCCTGGTGGTGCTGGCATGAGCAATGATGTTCCCCCCAATGGGTTTCTTCTGGTCCCCTCTAAGCATACTGGCAGCCCCATCGACCTGAGTAACCACCTTATTGGTTTTGACAACAGCCACCCCATGCTTATCGGCATCCTGAGGAACCTGGCCAGGTGCATCTGCCTGGCAGACAATTCCCTCCCTCCCAGAGAAATCAGTTCTGTAAATTGCCATTGCACTGTCAACAATCTGTCATCATGGCACTGGCCTGAATGAGCAGCTGACTCTGATTGTCTGTGTTGTAGGCAAGAGCACAAGCCGCATTGTCCACAACATTTTACCCAGGAATATTGTATTTCTGAGCAATAGCACTCAGTCTCTCAGGTGTAAAGATCCCCTCAGTGTCAATGTAGAGACATTTTCCACTTATTTATTCATATCATTCTCGCAGAGGTTTTTTCTTCATGTTTAATTACTTTAGCTAGTGAAAAGGAGAATTTGGTGGAGTTTAGAGCAGTATTTAGGACGTAAATGCATTTTACATAGATCTGTTATTAAAAATAATTAGTAAACACGCAAAAATTTATTAATAAAAACTATACAACTTGTGGAAATTCTGTGAAAAAAAAGAGAGAGTGAATACATTGAATATTTTCTAAAAACTGCAATATATTTCATCAATTCACAACACAAGGTAATGATGTCACTGGTTTTATCTTTTTTTTTCTTCTTGTTTATTATTCATCGTTCTAGAATTAGATAGTATGTTCTTCAACAATACTATCTCTATGACATGTATATGAATTTCATTTTTATCAAATAATACGATTATTCCAGTCATGTTGCTTACTTTACTTATTCAATACTACATTGGTTGTTAATATGAAATACTATAAGTTTCAGTTTTTCCTCAACGTTTGGACAAATAGGGATTTTTCAATTAAAAACAGTAATGTCCATTGGTAAAGGTCACGTATAAATTCGTAATAAAAAAAAATTAAAGTCTTACGCAATTTTTAAAAAATTGCAATTGTATTAAAAACATTGTTTTTACTAGTTTGATAGTCAATGTAAAGCGCATTATAATGGCAATGTATGGTATGCATGGGAAATGAACCTCTCAAAATTGAACGCGTTACTTCAAACGTTTTTACCGAATACAAAAATATCCCTTCTATTCTATTGATTTCAGAATCAACGATTTTATTAATTTTTAGTTTTATCCGATTGAGTAAAATCCCTTCAATTTATTGTTCATTGTCGGCATTGCTCCATACGAGGATTGTCCACTTATTTATTCATATCATATTAGCAATTTGGATAATGCGAAGACTAGTTTAAAGTGTTTTTTTTTTCATGTTTAATTATTATACTTTGGTGAAATTGGTGAAGTTTAGAGCAGTATTTCGTACGTCAATGAGTTTTGTTGTTGATTTGTTATTAAAAATGAGTGAATACCCAACAATCCATTAATAAAAATTATGCAACTTCTGGAAAGTAAAATGAAAAATTTTCATTTCGACCACTTTATTAATTCAATTGATTTTTCTTTAGCTTTTTGCTAATTAATATCTCGTTGCACACAAGTGTGAATGAAATCGAGATTGAATAAAAGAGAAACCCATTAAAATAGGCGTTGCAGCAATCGTGGAATTGAAGAAAACAGTTCTAACCATTCAAGTTAATAATTACAATTATCAATACATCAATCAATCAACTCTTAATTCGATCATATAGTTTTTAAGATATTGAGGAAAACAGATTTTTAAAGAATTGCTATATCTCAAAAGCTACTTGATCAATTGAAAAATTACGCCCATAAGTGGCCCCAAATAATAGCAATTATGCAACAGCATTTCAGATTTTCAACTTTACTTTTCTTTATGTGGAGATTTATGAAAAATACATACAAACATTTTCTACGATCATTTGAATTTTATAAAAATAAACTTATTTCACGCCAATTATTTCAACCCAGTGGATGATCAGCTGATATTCGAGGCTCTCTCCCCGGGCATCTCGAGCTTAGCCTCCAGCCCCTTAACCTGTACGAAACAGTCTGGTGGGTGACCAAGTCTTATAACGAGTACAGCATCAACTTTTCCATCATCGACCCCTACCTCTTCTTCTGGGCGGGCCTATATCTGTGGCACTACTCCAGTCACAAACTCTTGGACTAATGTCCTCTTGGATTAATGAGCAAAACACTCCACAAAACACCAATTCACTCCGAAATTGAATAATTTTTTTATTTAATTAATTATTTAATAAATTATTTATTCACCAATTAATTTATTATCAGTGTTTATTTATCAATTTATTCCATTACATTACATAACCCCTTCATGAGGTACTTCGAAATGAAATTCCGAAATTGGATAGTCCATGTTCCATATTCCTCTGTTCGAAATATGCGGGAATATGCGAACCCGAGGGGATGCGATCAAATGATCACGTGATGTGAACGTTCCGTTTTTTGTTCATGATAGGCCTCCAGGAACCTTTGCTTCAAGGTTCTTCCATTTTTATATCAACAAGATGGGTCGCGCGTGCTACGCACGCGACTTCTCATCTCCTCACATAGTGGCGCTGCGGTTTCAGTCGTTCGCTTACGCTTATTCGAGATTTTCGGGATATATCGAGATCGATCTCCTTTCTCCTCTTTACGATAGGGTCAAAATTGAAGGGTTAGGCAGTTGATGCAATACGTCATTAAATTGTAAAAGTCAAAGACTCATAGACCTTTAGAACAAAGATGCCCTCGACTTTGAATCAAACACCTGTTTTTTAAAGAAATTGCTTTGAATCAAAATCGCGTGCTTTTAAACGCTTTTATGGGCGCAATGCCTTTAATTAAGCGCCGCGCCCTTGAACGAGTCTCGGATTTTTTTCAGTGGATGGTAGAAAGTTTTTGATGTGTCTTGGCGGACTGCTAGAGCAGAACTTTTCTCTAAATTTTCTCAGACATGCTACAACACGTCCTTTCTCTGCGTATGTTTAGCACAAAGGGCTTCTTTGTTACCAGGTTTCGGAGCAAGAAACTGAAGTGAGTCAATGAGGGATTTGAAACTTCGAGAAATATTCAAGTGTTAAAATTTGGTATAAAATTCACAATTCTAGTTGACAGACTATGGAATCATTATAAATTGAAGTTTAAATAGCAATTTTAAATACTTCATAAATTTCTTGAAAAATCACCTTTTAAACAATGACCTGTTTGTTTTTCTTTTAGATTCTGTTTTTAAGTGATTAATAGTGAAAGACGAGGACCTAGTGTTGTGTTCATAATTGCCACAATGGAATAGCAAAGTTCTAGAGAGCACAAGTAGTCAATTTTCAATCATATAATTCTTTGACAAAATCACTCGTTTCTAGGATTTTCTCACTTGATATGTCCCCAAAAACTGAAACATTTCTCATCTGTAAATTCATCTCTGAAATATAGACCTCACGGTATTTGTCCAATATTTCATGGTTATTCGATAAAAATGTCGCTTATCGGTAATTCGATAAATCACATTGTCATCGATGAGCGATCTCATTCAAATCATCTTGAATTTTTATCCTTGAACTTTACTAGTAATGCCTCGCATATGATATAGTAGAAACTGATGAAATAAATCATGAAAACGTAGAAACATATTCTCTTTCAAATGGATGATGGAGGGGAAGTTTGTCATCACGCGTGAAGCGTCCATATCACTGAAAAATCCTATTCATCACTGTCCATCATATCCAAAATCAATACTCCGATATCAGAAACCTTCACCAAAAAAGTCTTCCTTGAAAAACTTCAAAACATCTCATCGTTCAACTCTATTTCATTGTTCTCATCCCCTCTCACTACAATAAAAGAATGCCAAAGCTATTTTTAAAGGAATGAATAGAAAAAGTGATTATTAATGTCTATTGTCTTCCTCAAGGTGCACTGGTTCCAACAGCAGCACGAGAAGAAGCGTAAGAAGCGGGATTACGACATACCTGGGTCCTACGGTTTTGGTAGTGACTATTCCAGTTTGTTCGAGGACTATTCACCGTCTCGACAGCGTCAGGCATTCCATCGTCAACGGAATCGCGGCGCACCACTTCAAAATTTATTCACGGATCCACTCTTCAAGGAACAATGGTATCTGGTAAGTTTTTGATACTTCATTTTGATACTTCATTCTTCTTTCATTTTTTGGTGTAATTAAAGTGTCTGGTTGGAGTGAAAGAGTTTCAATTATAGTTTTTAGTCGCAGAACAACTCGTGCATTCAATTTCATGATTTTAATTATTTTCTAAAATGAAAGAATATTAATATTTTCTCAGGAATTTATAGAAGTGAGAAACAATGAGAAGTTAATTTTTACTGCAGTTTCACTCTTTTAAGAATGATTTTTCAACTTCCCGGCAGGGAAGTTATTGTAATGGCCCCGAAAATCAAAAATCGATTTTTCATCAAATCTCCATGTTTCAAGGTCTTTTCGATATTCCTAGACAATTTTAAACAAAATGTCTGTTTGTGTGTATGTGTGTATGTGTATGTGTGTGGTCAAAATTTTGGTTAACGATTTCTCGTGAACGAATTGTCCGATTTGACTTTTTTTTTTCAATCGATAGGTTTTCATTCAACTTAGAGCGGATTAGATTTTGGCTGATATCTGTTTAGTGGTTTTTGAGTTTTCCCGGAAAGAAAATTCCAGAATGGCAAAAAAGCAACGAACACTTTCTCATGAAAATCACATATAGAACGATTATAATGAAGAAAATTTCATACTTCTCTTCGATTCCTTCCTAAAATTGCCGTTTTTCTATCAATAAATGAGAAATAAAAAAATTCCAATTGGAATACATCGTTATCAACTGGCGCGTCTACTAATTGGTCACGAACTCATCTGAAGTTAGTTGCTAAGAAAGTGTGTTGTTTTTCCAAATTTCTCATTATTTATATCACTCCGATGTTAATATTAACTCTCAATATAGAAATGTTATCGTATTTCGAGTTAAGAGAAATATTATATGAAAACAAATGCTGAGATCAGCGGTGTACTTCGTCTCATGAAAATGCGACACATTTCTCATGAACGCGACATCTTTTGATTGGGTGAACCCATCCGACCGGTCAGACCCACATGAATACATCCGCTACCAACCCACCCGCAATGGGAGCGAGCGCAGCGAGCGACCAACAGCCCAATCCACTAGTTTCATTATCAATTTTTCCTAAATCCCCTAATAGAAAAATCTGTATCCGTAACCAAGGTTTTTCCTTTGGTTTCTATGGTCAAATCCTTCCTTCTGCGTGAGCCATATATTTGATATACTCAATTGAAAGCTTATTCAATAAGCTTCAAAATGACACCTGATTTGCCCAATTGTGCCAATTTTTCATAAACTTATGAGACTTTTAGGTGAAAATGGAATTTCCATGTTTCACTTGGAAAATTAACGTTGCTCGGATTTTTCGATGCTCCCAAGTGGACTAGGCAGGGATATTTACATATCAATTTGAAGAGCATTTACAATCCTTCCAAATGATGTATGACAAATCTGATTTAATTCAGTTTTTAGTAAGTTATTGTAGATTGTTTCCATTTTTATTTACTTTATGCCACACTTCGGGAATGACTGTTTTTGCCATTTATTGAGGCTGCGGACTTGACCAGCGGGGATATATCATATGTCGATTTGAAGGGCTCATCGAGTTCTTCAAATTGAGACCCCATATTATCTATTCCATCCACCAGATCAATTGTTATAAGCAATAGTGTAGCGATTTTAGCATATCACGTTTTGAAAATTTCCATGATTCTCCTTCTAATGACGAGATTTGTTCGGTTTCTATTATCCACTGTCTAATCTATGGAGATATCTTATACCCAGGTGAAAATATATTAAATTACCTTGAAATAGACACCAGAATTATTTGATTAAGCCTAATTTTTCTTGAGAGATGGGAGCTTTTATTCAAAAATTGAATTTCATGATGTTTATTGTAAATTCAGCTTGGTTTGGGTTTTTCTCTAACTATTAGTCAAGTGAATGAAACTATCCATAGACCATTTAAAATGGTATTTGTTGTTATAGAATGTGAAAATCAGGGGAATTGGATTTTTAAAAATGACGACATAGATTGATCTCATACAAACTAGCTAGCGCGCGAAGTGCGCATCCCTTCTAGTAGAATTAAAAAATCAGACAATAGAGCACAATAGACTCACTCGTTGCTCATCGAAAGGGCTATAGGGGTACCATTTCTAAGATATGAGCAGCTTTCCACTGGCCCCCACTCCTCAACCAATACCGACCCCAAGTTCTCAGAAAAATGAGAGGGAATAAAGAGTTTAATTTTCGAACAAAATTATTTGGATCTCTGTGTTTACTAGTCCATACGCTAGGGGTACTTCTGTGTACATTGAGATGTCCATTAGATTTTATTACTGGATTCTATGTTTTCGAGGTCGCTGATTGCGAATATGATGATCGTTTGTGCAAAATCGTGGGCAGTCTCTTTGTTTATAACAATTTAATTGTTTAAAACGGAATATCGCGGAAACGGTTGGCTATAGGGGAAAATGTTTCAAACAAAAAATGTTCCTCATCAAAAAATCGACATATTTTGTTTCATAACATTTTCTCATAGCTATCATGGTTGCAGAGATATCGCGGATGCAAGTCCACAAAACTGACCTGATGTATTTTTTTGTAATGAACATCTTTTGTTTCAACCATTTTTTCCTCCGTCCAACCATTTTTTTTAAAAAGACTCCGGAGCGCGTTGCCGCCGCGCAATAGTGCCAGCGCGCAGCTCGCTGGACTTGTCTCCACGATATCTCTGCAACCATGACAGCTATGAGAAAATGTTATAAAACAAAATATGTCGACTTTTTGATAAGGAACATTTTTTGTTTGAAACATTTTCCCCTATAGCCAACCGTTTCCGCGATAGTCCGTTTTAAACAATTAAATTGTTATAAACAAAGGAGACTGCCCACGATTTCGCACAAACGATCATCATATTCGCAATCAGCGACCTCGAAAACATAGAATCCAGTAATAAAATCCAATGGACATCTCAATGTACACAGAAGTACCCCTAGCATATGGACTATACGTACAGAGGACAAAAGAAAGCGATAAGACGGCCTAGAGTGGGGGGCAGCGGTCGTGCGTCCTGCGTCCCAGAAGGGTTTAGGGGAAAAGGAGCAACTAACGGGCGTGCAACTAGCGAGAGTACTATAGATTTGATATCCCAATTTGATCAATTAATTTATGATTTTGTCCCATAATTAATGAAGTTCATTAGCCAATATCATGATTTATTATTTTTATCATTAATCATTGAGTATTGAATAATTAATTTCAATTTGATAGATAATATGAAAACTTAATCATGATTATTTTGAATAGAACGGAGGTGCCAAAGATGGTTTTGATATGAACATTGCACCAGCCTGGCAGAAGGGGTACACAGGTAAAGGCGTGATCGTATCAATTCTGGACGACGGTATCCAAACAAATCATCCTGATTTGGCGATGAATTACGATCACGAAGCCAGTTATGACATCAATAACGATGACGCTGATCCAATGCCGCAGGACAATGGGGACAATAAGCACGGCACACGTTGTGCTGGTGAGGTAGCCGCTGTTGCATTCAATCAGTATTGCGGAGTGGGTGTCGCTTACAATGCCAGTATCGGAGGTAAGTTGAGGGGATCTATGAGATGTCAATCATGTGTCCGATGCTACTCCTGGGGGATATCTTTCGAGAGATTGGTGCCTTAGTGTCGAAGAGCCTCCAGGTGTCTTAGATATGATGAAGTGGTTTGAAAATTGTTGGGGCAGTGAGGAAACCATTTTAAGGAGAGAATAGAGAATTTTGGAGTGATGTTTTTTGAGATAACTTGAGAACGAGTGGAAATTCAAGAAAATGGCGAAAAACTTTATTTACGGTCAATGTCTCAGTTAATGCCAGTAGAACAGAATAAAAAAGTTTTGATTTTCAGGAGTTTATCTACAATTATGGGGGGTTCGCGATTGTGGAATTCAGTGAGTGCAAAATTCTGAAATTTGATGATTGTGTCGCTAATTTTCAAGGACATCACCAATTTTCAGCTATAATACCCCAAGACCTTCAAAATTATCGGATATTTCCCGAATGTTTTGTTGCATAGCAACGAGAGGGATCAGTTTTGCAGATTAAAATCCCGAGCGCGTAGCACGAGGGATTTTACAGCAAAGCTGATCCCGATCGTTGATATGCAGGAAAACTTGAGGGAAATATCCGATGAATTTTGAAGGTCGAGGGGTATTCGGAGGACAATTTTTTCAATTCTGATTTTGGCCGATCAGGGTGCAGTGTTCGGGGTTACGGGACACATCTCACCAAAATGTGAGGAATATCTGTCAAATTCGTAGAAAACAATTGACAGGCTACAGGGAAATTATCAGTCTGATAATTTCCCTGCAGCCGGGGAAATTATCAATGTGAAACGCGTCACGTGACTCCGAATACTGCACTCTGATTGGTCAAAATCAGAATTGAGGAAATTGTCAGAGTAATGTCACTGATTTTCAAGGACCCATCTTCAATTGCTTCCGAATGAAAGCATAGTATTCGTTAAATCTGAAATTTCCATTTTTTGTGTGACGTTGACTAATTTTGGTCTCAGGAGTTCGAATATGATGTTTTTAGATCATGTCTGTATGTATGTATGTATCTGTTTTTTTTTCAAATTTAGTTTTTCGATCATCATTCAAAAAATAATCATCGAAGTCTTCGATTATCACTTAAAATGTTCGTTTGGAGGGTATCTTGGTCGAGTTCGAAGATAGTATGGCGATCACATCCTTTGCTTTGAAATTATAGCCTTAAAAAGCATTTAATGGAGGTTTAATCATGGTTTAGTCGGAACTTAGTCGGAGTTTAGCCAGGGTTTCGTCCGAGTTTGGTCAAGATTTAGTCGGGGTTTCGTCGGATTTTAGTCAAGGTTAAGTCAGGGTTTCGTCAGGGTTTAGTCGGAGGTTAATCAGAGTTTAATCAAGATTTAATCAATGTTTATTTTTAGGAATCTATCAGTAATTTTCGGTGATAAAAATCACTGATGATCGAGGTGATCCTAAGCAGTGTCCAGTATCACCACTGGAAATTAGTCGATCAAACGAGCCCGGGCGAAGTTCGATCGCGATTATACGAAGACGTCTCGTTCGAAGATGATTACTTGTAGTAGCGTCAGCTATGCTCCAATCCACAACGTTTAGAGTATTAGAATTTGAATTTTTTGACTAGCTGCCGCGCCTCCGCCTCCTGTTGGCGCTGCGTGCGGCGTGTCGTCATATTTTTTAGAGAATTTGTAACAGTAAAATTTTTCCTTTTTTTTTTTTTTTTGATGATGATTATGGGTAGTGATGGGTTTTTTGTTAGGGTGGGAGGTAATCATCTTCGAACGAGACGTCTTCGTATAATCGCGATCGAACCTCGCCCGGGCTCGTTTGATCGACTAATTATACTACGACGTCTCGTTCTCAATGATTACTTGTAGATGTTTAGCGCGTTTTATTTAAAAAATAAAAAATGGAAAAAAATTTTCTTTTTTTTTTTTTTTTTTTTAAGACTACTCATACAACTTTATTTTGAGAGAACAGCACGAGCGAAGGTATCATTAACGTCCTGTATTGGTCGATTGTAAAACTTGGCGAACACCTTCGACTGGTCAGACCATCCGGCTGTGCGTCGAATGGTATCGATGTCTACTTCCTTATTAATTGCCTTTGATACTGCTGCGTGCTTTGCGCTATATGCGGTGAATCTCATTTCATTGTATCGATACTTGCCTTTTTTAACAGGGATTTCACCCAATGTGCGAGCGTTTGAGAAGTGACTGGCGTGTGTGGCTTTATGGTTGAAATGAACAGACTCGTATGCTCTCCTCTAAGGTCTTTGGTATAGTTGAGGTATTCCAACAGGGCCTCCGCCACACAGATTCTCGTGTCTTCCGTAAAAAAGGGCAGAATAAGATTAGGCTGGAAATTTCCAGGCTTCGAGGTTTTACATAAGTCGGGGATTCTAATCTCGATTGCTGAATCAACTTGTTTGATATTGGTAATGTTAATTAGTTCCATGGTTTGCAGGCGATGCGCTGTCGTTAATAACAAGAGGGTCACAGTCTTCTCGGCGAGTTCTTTTAACTTCATTTGACTCTTCTGTGATAAACTTCTTATATAATCGAGGACTGGGTCCACCTTCCATGTTGTCGAGTCCTTTGCTCTTGGTGGCCGGTTCCTGAATATACCTCGCATAAAGCGACTTATAGACTCATCTTTTCCAAATTTTGCTGAAGTAATGAGGGCTATGGCAGATCTATCAGAATTTAACGTTCCATATTTTGCTCCCTCATTATATCTCTCCATAAGGAATTCAATTATTTTAAATGTATCAGTGACAAATAAATCGTAATTTCTTTCTTTTGTAAACAGCCACCATCTTTTTAGGGAACTTTCGTACTGCTTCAAAGTCGATTTAGCAATTGAGTCTGCCATGATGTCTGCTGCGCTCTTGGAATATCCTCGTTTTATGTAGGCTTGCCTGACAATCGCCCTGCCACCAACGAAAGCGTCCTCTGCAGTGGGTGTGCTTTTTCCCTGCAAGGTGATCTCAATAAATTTTTATTAGGTTTGAAAAAGATGGGTGGACGCCTGAGCAGTGAATTGAATAAGGGGTACCAGGGTTGGGTAGGCCAGTGTGGTACCACAACTACCCCATCAGCTTCATCAGTAATGAACTTTTCTAAACATGGTAAGATGAGTGCAAAGAGAGGGAACGCGTATGGCTTTTCTTGATCCCATGGGATGGTAAACGCGTCTATTCTAAAAACCCCTGGGTTCGGATACCTGGAGCAAAATTTGTTGGTTTTTCTGTTGGCACATGTGGCGAATAAGTCGATACTGAACGGCCCGAATTTTTTATCAATTTTTTTGAATGCGTCATCGCACAATTCCCATTCAGTGTCCATGTTTTTAACTCTCGAGGCCGCGTCAGCGTGGACATTGTCTTTCGATGCAATGTACGATGCCTGTACCCAGACGTGTCGTTCTTCACACCAAGCCCAGATCTGTCGTGCTAGATCATTCAAGTGTGGAAATTGAATTCCCCCTGTTTTATTCACGTAGGCGATCGCAGTCGTGTTGTCAAGTCTTAACAAAATTTCACTGTGGCGTAACTGAGAAGCAAAGCATTTGAGGGCAATAAAGACCGCCAGGAGTTCCAAATAATTTATATGATTTTTTCTTTCTTCATTATTCCACCAACCATTCGCGGATTGCCCGTTACAATGAGAGCCCCAATCGGTCAAAGAAGCGTCAGAGAAAATTTCGACTGCATATTTCGAGGTGCGAATCGGATTTATCCCAATCTGACTATTAATTTTCCACCATTCAAGGTCTTCTTTGAATTTCTTCTTAATCAACATTGTTGCCTCGTAATCTCCCTGATCTATTAGCAAAGACAAAAATTTTTCCCTCTCCAACTTCTTACAGTGTACCAGACCATAAGCCACCGCTGGGCAAGCTGCATTTAACACTCCTAGTAATTTAGCAAAGCCTCTTTTCGTCACCTCTTTTCCTACTGAGAATAATTCCAATAAATTTTTAATTTGATTCTTCTTCTTATCAGTTAATTCAATTGTATAATCAATAGAATTGATAATGAAGCCAAGAAATTTACATTTCTGTGAAGGTACTAGGTAACTCTGCTTGTCATTTATGATGAATCCCAATTTAACCAGGAATTGTTTTGATTCCATGGCATTGTGTCTGCATTCTTCGAAACTTTTTCCCAAGAACAATACATCATCTAAATAAATTATTGATAAAAAACCTCGACTTCTCAGTACATTCATGACTGGCTTCAAAATTTTTGTAAACACATAGGGACTTGTGCATAAACCAAAAGGTAGACATTTAAATTGATACATTTCATCTTTGAATGTGAATTTTAGATATTTCCGACTCGAAACATGCACTGGGACTAAGAAATAAGCATCCCTGAGATCAAGAGAAGCCATAAATGCCTTGGGAGTCAATAAATTTCTCACTGCCTTTATGTCCTCCATTTTAAAGTGGGGGGCTTCAATGAATTTATTCAATTTTTTCAAATTTAGTATGAATCTCTGAGATCCATCTGGTTTAGGCACCAGAAAAATTGACGAAATGAATTCACCTTCACAACTTTGACATTTTTCGATCGCCCCTTTTTTCAGGAGTTCTGAAATTTCCTTTTCAATCAATTCTGGTTCCCCTTTCGACCAATTTCACTGCCCACCAGGTTTAATTTGCTGAGGGGGTTCTTTGAACACAATTCTATAACTTTTTATGCAATTAAGTATGAAGTTATCACTTGTGATTTTTCTCCATTCATCAATGAATGATCCTAACCTCCCAGCGACCTGACTTACCTCCTCTATTTCTTCTTCGAGTCCTTCGTCGAACGACTCTTCTCTCGACTCGGTGGGTTCGAACGATACTGCCTCGGTTTGAACCTGGAGAGTGGTCTCCTCGGAAATCCGCCCGCCTGTCGGTTCTGGGCAAACGGGCGACTCCAGTTTCCCTGATTCTGGATCCTTGGTGCCACAGATTTCTTGTCAGAAACCTTGAGTTGCTGACAAACATTCTCTATCGTCTTAGCCTCTTTTATTTGATCAGCCA